TGCCAGGGTAGTGGAATGTAGGTAGAGAATTAGGGATTTACTCAGAGTTCCCTGTTTTTCTTTCAGTCAGTCTGCTCTTGGCCTTCAGAGCCACTTCCTTCTGCCTTTGCTCCCAGGCTAACCCATGCGGAGATTTTTGTTCTCTGATTCTATTCCTGATAGGATGTAGTAAGCTAGATGTTAGGTTTTGTCTGGCCTCTCACCCCAAACACATACATTTTTTCTTAAATAAAAGCTTCTCTTACAATTATAAATCTATTTCACTAATCTTTCTCAGGTTAGATTCCTGTTTTTCCAGAATATTAATACAAATGCTTTGCCTCCAACAATTTATTCTTGTTCTGCATGCTCCTTGATGCTCTGTATTTTTATTTCCTTGATGACAAACCTAGATCAGCTAAAACCTTTACATGAAATTTTGTAAAACTGACAAAATTTTACAATAGCACCTTCACATTAGCAATTTATAGTATCATCCAGCCATTGCTGTGATGGTATAAAGTCTATCTTCATTAACAATATAGTGACTGGATGATGCTATAACCGCTTGTGCGGAAATATATTTCATTAGATTATTCTGGTATACAGATCCAGTTAGACAGACATTCTAGTACAGGATTTATTTTTTAAAATTGTCCATGTTATTTTCAGAATTGTCTGCTTATCTTCACTATCTTATTTTCATCTTTCACTTAAGAAACCTTAACTTATATTTGGCCTGTTAGCTAGAATCGTATCTTCTAAGTGATTAGATTGCCAAAGGTTCTACTGCCATCCAGAGTTACTGCTGTGAGATGAGTGGCCATATAAACTGTTTAAACAAACAAGCAAGCAAGCAGACAAATGAAAACAGTGAATGTTGTCCTTTGCATTCCAGAGGAGAAAAAGCAGTTGGCGTTGTGCTAATGTGCTAATGAGTTGCTCTATGAGGATAATGCTGGAAGAGTCACATCTAACTGTGATAACACTTTTTTATGAAGATGAGAAGGTGAGAATTTATAATATTAAAAAAAAATCACTATGGTCAAACTCCATAGTAGTTTATGTTTATACATGGTTAACTTGATTTCTGTCCAATTTCCGGATTCATATGACAAACTGAGCCACAAACTAGCCACATGAGCTAGATTCACGCAATATGTTAGGCTAAAACTGATTGGCTACTCTGAAGTTCAGTTCATATCAGCAAGCCTTTCAAGTGAAATTTGCTAGCAAGGAACCAGGTGTATGTCTTGACATTCTTTGTTAATTAAATCCTCCTCAGGTTACAAGAAGTTAGGATTAAATGTCTATAAATTACTATTTTAAAAGACTTGTGCAAAATTAAAAAAATATTTCTGATAGGGTTTATCATCTGCACTAGAATAACATAGGCCAAATACATGTCTTCCAAACCTACCATCTTTCATTTTTGCATATGTCTTTTGAGAGTCTTGTGAAAGCCTTATTTTGTTCTGATTATCTGACCAAACACTCACTCTGCAGAGGAAATTATGAAGGAGAGATAGAAAAGAAGATGGGCTGTAATTGTTATCTCAGTGAACTTGTGTTGAAAGAGTACCCAAAACAATTTATAGCCTGCCAGTATTTTGCAAGCTGCAACATTTTAAGAGCAGTTTAAGGGAAGCAAGGAACCCCCCCCCCTTTCTTTCGTTGCTGCCCTCAAAATGGAACCCAGATTTCAGAAATGATGCAATGCTAACATGCTTATTTCCAGTGAAACAGACTTATTTTATAAAGTTGTAATGTTCTATCATTTATTCATCTGATATATAGTTTAACATTCAAAATGGTATATGTATTTCTTACCTAACTAACTTCAATGAAATCATTAGTTTTAATCACACAGGGGGTAGACAAATTGATTTGTTCATTTCAGGAGGTTACAATATGGCCAGGTTTAGGAACCCCTGCTCTTAACTAAAATGGGGTTTGCTTGCTTTGAGTTTAATATGATGCATGAACCCACCCAGTTCTGGATTATTCAACGAACTATACTTATGCAAACTATGGTTTAGCACAATGCCTGACTTCAGTGACAGGTTCAGTGTAGGTGGGATGATTGCCTATTTACTACTACTATTCCATCTCCCCCCACCCTTTTTAAAAGCAGTATCAAAAGGAAGCTGTTTCTGTAGCTTGATCCCAGCAATTTATCACTGCTTAGAGAGAAGGGGTAAGCAGTGATACATTCTTGCCAATTGAAAAAAAATCTGTGATAAGAGCACTGTTTTTTGTTGAGTGTCAAATAAGCATACTACTTACAAGCTACTGATAAAATTATCATTTAGTGAGAAGTGGGTAAAATGGAGTCTCCCAGTGGTGGCAGCGCAGGTGCTGCTGTCCCCAGACACCATGTTTTGAAGAGTCTTTCATCCAAACAAGGCATTGAGAGTCAGGTGGCTGCAGAAACTACCTCTGGGACACAAGGGGTCTCCTGGGCCACTTTCCCCACAGTGCCTTGCTCTGAGGAAAGGCTCAGCGTTGGCGCTGACAGATTCTTTGGAGCTTCACGCTGGCTGTTCTTCTACTATGTCAGTTGCTTCAGCAAGAAAGCAACCTGCAGAACATTCCAGAATTACCATATGATGCCTCCCTCAGGCGGCCATTTCCTTGGAATGAAGCACTAACTCACAGGCCACTCTGTGGAAAGCAGGAGTGTCCAGTGGGAGATTCATGACAGCAGTCTTCCAATACTTGAAGGGCTGCCACAGGGAAGAGGGTGTTAATTTATTCTCCATAGCACCTGAGGGTAGGACAAGAAGCAAAGGGTGGAAGCTCATCAGAGGGAGATCCAACCTGGAAATAAGGAGGAATTTCCTGACAGAACTCTTAAGCAGTGGAGCAGCTTGCCTCCTGGAGTTGTGGGTCCTCCATCGCTGGAGGTTTTCAAGAAAAGATTGGACAACCGTTTGTCCAAGATTGTATGAGGACTCTTGCCTTGGGCAGGGGGTTGGACTAGAAGACCTCCAAGGTCCCTTCCAACCCTATGATTCTATGATTCTGTGAGATTTAAGATGGCTGCCACAACTGCTTGATCAACCCCCTGCCTCTTTTTTAGGTGCTGGGCATGCAATGCACGTAAAAAAGGAAGGATTTCAAATGTACACTCATGGCTACCATTTTACTTTTTTTACACCCCCACCCCAGATGCTCCTAGTGGAAATCTTCATCAGTTGCATTTGTGAGGCTAGGCTGAAGCTGACATAACTAAAGATGAAGCAGGCATGTAAACAGAGAGGACAAAAAGTCAGGAATCTTGTCTAAAAGATCCTTTCGGGGAGGTAGATAAAAGGAAACAAGTCATTAAGGAAACAAAGGAAAAAATGTCATCTGAACCAGACAAGGAAGTTAGGCCTGAGCACATGGAACCCC